TTGGCCTGTGATTTGGTTAATATGAGCACTTGATTTTTAAAAAGTGTACGTGACTGCCATCATTCAACTAACATTGGTGCCAAGCACTGTGCTGCCCTTTAGGCCGGGGTGACTAAAATCCAGAAGGCACACTCTGGTTAATAACTAAAATAGGTTTATCCTAGAAAAAGCAATGGAGACAAGTCAGGGAAGAGAGGAAGATGGGATTGAAGTCACAAACAGCTGTCTCATGTATTAATTTGATGGGAGGAGCGAGACAGGGAAGGAGTTGAATTATATGCTAGGTTTTTTTCACAGAACTTTCTGGAACAGTGTAAGGTGAAAAGGTGACTGTAGACAATGGCATCATTTGTAATGTAGCCAGAAGTGGGCAACAGTGTTAGAAGGTTTTTTCAGAGATGTGTTGGCGAGTGGAGGGAGAAAGTGACTTCCCCAGAAGTGAGTTTGGGGGTTTCTGTGTGTCTCTCTCATGCCCCCGAAGCTTCAAAGGGCTTTCGGCTCTGTCCTTTGTGTGTCTGGTTGGTGTTTGCTGGAAAGGTAGGTGCCCTTCCTCCACACTTGCACAAGGACCTCTTTTCCAAGTACCTTTACTTTTTCATTTTCTACATGAGGCTCTGGGGAAAATACAGATCTTAGAAGTAACTGAGTAGAGAATCATTTTAGGAAAAGGTAGGGGGTTTCTGAGATTCGACCCCCCCCCCCATTTTAAGGCCTACAAACTACATTCTCGACTTGGCAGAGACTGGCCTGGTAGATAGCCTCTGAGCTATTGCTTCTCGGGAGACAGCTTTGAAGGGTGTTGTGTGCAAGCGCTGGCAGCCTCACAGGCGCTCATGCCTAAGTGTAAAGGGGAAAGAAAAATTAAGCAAGAAAACCCCTCATAACCAGGGTGGAGTGCGTTTTGGATCATAGATTTTTATTACTGCCAACTAGTGTCAGGCAGGGGCCATTAATCCTCATATGGTGTAGAATAGTAAATCTGCAATACTGAGCCTCCACCACAGGTGGAATTAGGTCTGTAAAACAGATTCCCTGTTTGAAATGGGGCCAACGTGACCAGCACCACTGCAGTTATAGGAAACCCTTTAAAGGAAAGGGCATACTTAAACATGAAGCCTTGTCTTAGGTCGGTCACCTAACTGGGACCTCTGCTGTCCTTGTGTTCTGTCCTTGCCGAAGGTGTGGATCATATCTTTTTTAAAGTCGAGATCCTGTCCAACGAAGACCGGGAATGGCATGAATCATTCTCCCTAGTCCTTGGCCCAGATGACCCGGTGGAAGCAGTTCTTGGTGAAGTGACCACTGCCACAGTGACGATCCTAGACCAGGAGGCAGCAGGGAGTCTCATACTGCCAGCACCACCCATCGTGAGTGGCTTGACGGGAAGGATTGCTTGTATGTCTTAGTGACTAGTAGATGAGAACTTGAGATAAGTAGGACTCCCAGTGCTATATACTCCTTCATTCCTCTAACACAGTGGTTCTTAACCAGGAGCAATCCTTTCCCCTCCTCCGTAACACCCCCACCCGCCCCAACTACCTCCATGGCACATTTGGCAATCTCTGGTAACAGTAGTTGTTATGACTGTCAGTAGGTGCTAGTAGCATCTAGTGGGTAGAAGCCAGAGATGCTACTAAACATCCTACAATGCACAAGACAGCTCTAATGACAAAGAATTATTTGGCACAAATGTCAAGAGTGCAGAAGATGAGAAATTCTGTTCCAACAAAAGAGGAAGACCAAACCATGCCCATACCTCAGTCTGATAAAACAGAAAGTACAATACAATTGATATTCTCACTTCTTTGGTGGGACTTAAACGAGTAAAAAAAGAAAAAAGTAATGCAATCCCATATCTATTATTCTACCTATTGGCCACACATATGTAGAATTAAGTATCTGTAGAAATGTAGTACCATGATTCCCAGTTTTGGGGTGTAAAGAATGAATGCACTGACTCTACAATCAGGATGAAAATGCCCGGAGGTTGCCAAAGGAATTCTAACCCATAGTAAAGAAGCAGTCAGAGTAAGTCTTCTAACCTCCCCAGACTAGTCTCATACTCGAAGGATCATTTCAAAATTTGTGTCTTGATTGACCATAGAAGAAATACACTACCTTTATTTACTTTTATTTTGCTGATGCACTACTGCATACCATTAACAATTTAAGGCAACTTTAAACTAGTAACTGCCATTCATGATATAGCTTCAGTTACTATATCATGGAAAATATTATATTGGCAGGAAAATAAAAGTATTTTCCACATGAGTGATAGAGCTCTGCTTTATGAATAATGCTAATAAGATAATAAAGCTTCTAGCTGACCAGTAGAAGGATCTTCTCCACCGCCTAAGATCTGCATTATCTTTTAGGGATGCTTTGTAAAGCATTGTAAACTCCTGTTATGTTTTCAAGAATCCCTGGAAATTAAGTGATCTTGTGAATCCTGTAGAGCAGGGTGGGGAACCTATTTTCTGCCAAGGACCATTGGATATTTATAACATAATTTGCTTAATATAATTCACTTAACATAAACTTAGGTTACTATGAATAAAAGCTCCTAGATTTATTGAATTTTGAGTCCTGCCTGCGCTTGCCTTGGCAGCGCGAGACCAAATGATTTCATGGGCCTTCTAGGACCCGCGGGCCAGACATTGCCCACCCCTGCTTTAGAGCCTTAGTACTCTCACCTTCCCGACACCTAACCAGGGCTGAAGCTTTGTTGCTCCTTTGCAGGTTGTCACACTTGTGGACTATGACCATGTGGAAGAGGTTACCAAGGAAGGAGTCAAGAAATCTCCCTCCCCAGGTTACCCGCTGGTCTGTGTCACCCCTTGCGACCCTCATTTCCCCAAGTATGCCATCACGAGGGAGCGCTGCAGTGAGGCTGGCATCAACCAGACATCCGTGCAGTTCAGCTGGGAAGTGGCTGCCCCCACTGATGGCAACGGGGCCCGGTCTCCCTTTGAGACCATCACCGACAACACACCATTCACCAGTGTCAACCACATGGTAGGTCTGGGGTCT